TACAATGATACACAGGCACATTTTACAGGAGGCGCTCACATAATATCACGGGTACGCCGCTGTGGCGTTGCGTTGACTTCATGTACCGTCGTTAATGTCTCCGATAAATATAATCGATAATAATAATAATAATAATAATATAACGTTACTATTATTATACATTTTCATCGTACTTTGGGTCGACACCCACTCCTCGAGTAATTTCCGATTTCGTATTGTTATAAACCTATACCTATAGTTATATATATATTATTAACGATACATTTCTAAAATGATAGCGTAAAACTATTTTCTCGTACATTGATATTACATATACCTATCTATGAACGTGCGTATCGCACTATGATCCACACGTGAGATATTTTATGCATGTGCATCGTGGCATCGTGCACTTAACCCTGACGACTGTTCAATATACCTACTTGCTACTACCAGTATATTATAAAGGTTTAACTTTTTAAGCACACATAATGTATATTTGTCTATTTAATACAAATATATCATAATAATATTATTGTGTAGTGCATTCGTGGTGTGTACACGATCTCGTTGTGTATATACCCATCGTATAATCGACTTTTATAGGGAGAAAGTAGTCCACTTCATCATCATCGTCATCCGCATGTCGTACCCCTACGTCTGCTTATTGTTATTAGACCGTATACCGTGTGTAACAGAAAGAACTGACCAAAAAAAAAAAAAAATTGATGCTACTTAAATGTATGACAAAAATTGTTGAAATTATATGATTAGTAAATAGTTTTAAGAATATACCCATGTTATAAAATTTCCAAAAATAATATTTTTAAAAAAGCTATTGCGTTCCAAATTTATTTTATCAAAAAAATATTGATATTTAAAAAAATTCTAAAAAATAAACTACTAGACTTAGATAAATGTTTTTACCATCCAAATCGTTCTTAAAATCAGATTCACAAGTTTGCTATTTTGAATTTATTCAAAAAAATTTAAGTCAAATTTAAAATTTTTTATTTTTAGTATAAAAAAATAAAAATAATTTTTTTCCTCTTACACGTGTAGAACAAGTGGCTATAAATTATATATAAAAAAAAAAATTAAAAATAATGATCATAACAAAAGTTATTCCAAAAGTCAGTTCTATCTGTTACACCCTGTATATATATAGTGACCTTTGCGTCAGGTCGTAAAAGCTTAATTTCACGACGTACCTATTATTTTTTTTTATTTTTTTATTGGCCCCTGGACGAAAATGAACGTTGCCAAGACACATCGATTCGATTTATATACGCACAAAAGACAGGCATTTTCACGGTTTTATGCAATATAACGACATCAACATATTCATCTATGAGTTATGAGTCACTGATGAGAAATATAGCCTAAATCTAGTTTTTACATATTTTCAGTTGAGTTAAACAATGGTTTATTTAGTCAGTTTGCAGTTTTTCTAACTTCAAACTATTATCATCTATAGATATTATAGATATTGTTTTATTAGTATTTAATGTCGTTCATAGACCGATTTTTTTCTAGAGTTTTGCTTATAAAAAGTTTATTTTTAAAAAAACTATTGTAGATAGGCGCTTAGATATAGATATATTCTATTATTAGTATCTCATACTCATATAGCCTTGTGTCGCACCCGATACTCCCAGCAAGCACAAATCTGTTTGGAATGCGTCCTCAACTTGAATCCCACAACAAATGTGACGAAAAGAGTAAAAGACCATACTGCAGCAGCCGCGACAAGGACGGGAGTGCGCACAAGAAGGGCGATTGGAAATTCCAGTAAAACACAATGAGACATTGTGGGAACGGGCACAAAAGGACGTCCTTCAGTTGCGATGTCTTGTACTCTTTTATATATATGTATGACAGTCCTAGTCTATAGGTGTCTATAATACGCGTATATCTCTATATAATATACGCCTGCAGTAGCGGACAACAATGTTTTTTTCGAGAAAAAAAAACAGAAAAGGGAAATCGCGTTTTTTTCAAAATCTTACTATATTGTGCAATTAATACAGTCGTTTGCTCCGTAATTCACTGCAGCCGGAGTCGTTTGCAGCTGCCGAAAATCCTTGTCAGTTTACAAAAAATACCCTCATAAAACAAACACAATAATAATAATAATTCTATCCTTTTGCCGATCGCGCCATTGGGAAATTAATAATTATTTTAATACATCATTTAGTCTCGAAAGCCGTTACGTAACCGTTTCGTATTTCACCTGATCGGATTATTACTGCTGTAGGTATTATAATTTTTTTATCGAAATGCAAAACACTTTACTATATTTTATACTGTCTGCGGCGGCCGTGTCATTTACAACCAGGGGAACCACACCTGTATATTATCGGTTACCAGGTGTCAGCGCATTTTTTTTGTTATTATATATATATATACCATATATGTGTAATTTTTTTTTTTTTGTTTCCGGCAACCCGATTTTATTATTCGAGTGCAAAAAGGTTAGCTGAAACCCAACTCCCATTGTTTTTAGAATAATTTAAAACGAAAAACATCGATCACTTCAAAAGTCAGACTGCTCAGTCTGACAACCTACAATGTGTGCGTTTGTCGGACGAGACGACACCGCCAACATTACAGTGGTAGTATAGGCTGCAGTCATATGGTTATAGGTTATTAAACCGCACATATGACAATACGCTGCTTCTACGCGAAATTTACCCTTTTTCCGCATTATGTAATATAAAACATAATATACGACCACCGCTGGATCGACTGTTTTGCATCTGTTTACGGTTTTTATTATTATTTTTTTGTTTTTATTGATCGCCGTCGCCCGAAAAAGCGAATTATTAAGTGGTTATCCCCCGCAGCAATATTGAATTGCAACTGGGAGGGTACGAAATCGATCCAAAATAAAGATACCGCAAGGATATGTCGTGTGGACACGGTTCATTGATTTGCGGGGCACATTTTATTTCTATTTTTTTTTTTTTTTTTGGTCCGACCTACACTTGAACGAGTACCTATATTATTATGGGGACCGGCATACTGAATGCTGCACGAGCAGCTCGTGTGTGACTAATGATTTCGGGGGCTTTCCTTTCGCGCTCCCGTCGAAACACACCTGATCATTGTCAACCCCTCGTCGGCTTCGGTTTGACCTTTGCGATTTATTGTTAAATTATTATTTTTTTTTATCAAACAATTTTTTTCGTATAAGTCGCTATATTTATAACTTTATAAGTAATAGGTTACGTTCACGCGTCCGTCATAATTATATACTCGTAATACAATAAACGCGTATACTCGCCACGATATATACCTATTGCTTTCACTCCGTCTAGACTCTGGGCCATTTTGAAAATCGATTATCGCTGACGTATAGTGCGCGGACACTGTATAGAAATCAGCTTAAAATAATGTACGGTATTTTTTTTTTTTTTTTTGTGATTTTAGAAACGAAGTCCGTTTAGCTAACAACAGTAGAATATTAATTAACAGCCCTGGTGCTGTGTATCAAGTCCTGTTTCGTCTTATTTGGTGAATTCCGGTCCATAAAAATTAATTGCCTCCGGACAGCGGGAAAAAAAATCGGGGCTGGCGTTATAGCAGGTGCCGTTTTTTACGACTATGCCTATGGTTCTTTTTTCCAAGCATTCCGCGCACACAGATTCTGCGTATTCAGTTCGTGTACACTATATAATAATATGCAGTATATTATGTTTTAAATGCACCGCGTGTCTCGTCCCCAGGTCCCTCAATGCCACTGCGTCAAAATTGCATTTCCTACGTCGTTCCTCCGTGGTAATTTCCCTCGCATTGTGGAAAATCACACAGACATTTTATGTCGTCGATTTCACTTCCGGCGACGTCGAACTCACGAGTTTATATATACTCATACAGCCATACTCAAAAACGTGAATTTTTATTTTTCTGTCCGGTCGGTCGTCCAATTTGAGTTTGTATTGTCTCACCTGTGTATAGCAATATATGTATATAATACATACATACAATATATAGTATAATATAGTGATTCTTTTATTCGAACACCATCGAACATACTTTGGCCTATAGTATCGATGCTTTCGATTTACTGCTTTACGTGCGCGAAATACTCGGCGGCAGCGGCCGCAATCACATCCATATATAAGCGAAGTATGTAGAAAATAAAAATTGGAAAAACGAAAAGCGTCATATTATATTATTATACATACGAGACCCTCGCACGCGCACTCGCCCGCCGTCAGTTATCCCACGTCCATATACGTGTCCCATTATATCATATATATGTGTACCTATATATATATTATATTACCCTTTTGTGGGCATCGCATATAATAATATACTGTATTATATATACTCGCGTCGCCGTGAAAAGGACACGCGGGAACCGATGGCCGGAAGCGATAAGTCTATATATTATGTATTAATATGATATTATTATATATTATATTATATATAGGTACCTCCCGTGTGTTGGACGTACATCACTAAATATTATTGTAGTGCGAGAAAACTGTATGATATATTATATACTCACAACGAGGCGCCGGGCGCGACGACGACACCGAAGACGACCGCGTTATTATTATTGTCGTCGCGGTACATTATAATAGCGTACGTCTTCCAATACAATGATATATATACATTATGTAGTGCGTTATTGTGGGTGTCCGAGTCATTATATTAAGCCCACCGTATATGTTCATATTGTATTATTGGTAAGCATCTCCTGCAGGGCGATCGTCGCCATATTCCTTGTATACTATACATAGCTGGTTTTCGGTTAGCTAAAAATATAGTAATACATAGGCTTAACCAGTCAAAAATTAAGTTAAGAGCTGTATGGATTTCAATTCGTAATATAATTTGATTTCTCTCTTCGACTTAATTGGAAGTTAAAATTTGAGATAATATTATAGGTGTACAAATTAACTGCAGTTTAGGTTTTAAACACAGCTGTCTTATATTTAATATTACCATAATTAGCACCTGCAGGTACATAATTGTATGCATATTATATGTTTACAGGTTGAATGGTGACAATGGCCGATACGGGATTGTTGGCTGCACCGGCGGCGGCGGCAGCCCGGCACAGCAAAGTGCAAACGCCACCGCTGGGCGTGTTCTCGTCGGCCGAGGACACGGATTCGGAGGCAGAAGCCGATCGGACCCGTGACGAGGAAGATGACGACGATGACCACCAACGCAAACGTCAACACCACCACCACCTCCAGCAGCAGCAGCAACAAAACCATCGCCGCCGTCAGCGACAGCTGCAGCAACAGCAGCCCGTTTGCTTGGCAGCCAGATCTAATGCGCCCGTCATCAACCACAACAACAACAACAACAGCAACAGTAACAACAACAACAACAATATTAACAATAATCACAGCACGCGGAACAAGCGGAAAAACTTTCAGCCACGCAACATCAGCTATACGCAAGACGCGGCTGAAGACGGTTGTGATGGCGGCAATGGGGGCGCCGGCGGAGACTCGGCAGCGGCCGGCGGCGACTTGTCCGCGGCCGCAGTGCTCGACCTGAGCGCGTGCACCGGGTCCACCGTGGCCAAGCGGCCGCGCGTCGACGACGGTTCCGCACCGATGGATCTCACGTGCGCCGTAGCGCAGCCCCCAGCGGCAGGCGCGGTGCCAGCGGACAAGCGCCCGTCCACCGTCGCTGCGGCAGCAGCAGCCGCTGCTCATGGTGTTCAGCACCTACTAGCGGCTGCGGCCGCAGCTGCCGGCCACCACCAACACCACCAGCCGCACGAAGCGACTGACTTAAAGGAGTACGCTCAGAACACGGTCCGCGAGCTGCTGGAAATCTACGGACTCAACACGGACGTGGCCGATGCCATCACCAACAACGTGCCGATGGTTAACTTCTCTACCGGTAAGTCACCATATAGGTATTCACCAAATAATTATAACTTCATATTATAAAATAGTATACTTTACACGTCAAAAGAAAGGTTATCGGGTTAGATCGGTCGTTTAACGTAATGATTATAATATCCAAGAATAACATAGGTCTAAATAATATTTTAAAACAATTGAACATAAAAAATTAAATTGTGGCTTGGCTGCTACCAGAAGTGGAATGCGACTGAGAGTAAGTAACGCCCGCTGCTACTAGTTTCCGGATGGGTGCCCACCTGGGATCGTAGTAGTAAAAACCTTGTGTTTGCTTACCTACCGTAACAACACCTTACCAACCATAGTTCATAAATCATAATCCCCTATAACAGCTTAAGTTTAATAAAAAAAAAAAAATAAAGAGTAGCTTATACTGTCTTATATATTTAATAGTTAATAACAAAAATAAGCAATGTAAGTACCTACGTTTTAACTCAATTTTAATTAATTTCAATTCACGATTCAAACACCGACGCGTGATGGCAGAGTTCCTACGTTTTCGTTATTGCTCTTGTATCGAATAAACTGAAATGGTAACTGGTATGAGGTTCGCTCTAAAAACAGTATAGACCAAAAGTTGTAGTCTAGTCGGCGTGTAAAGGACACGACAGTATGTGCGTGTATACGATAGGTATATATGATGGCTATCCTAACGAGGAGATGTTTACATAATGCGCGCGGTAGCCATGAATACCTTGGCCCGCGGACGTTTCGAATATTGAATTCGTGTCTGAACCGCACACGCGATCGATTATTAATAGCAGCGGGTTATATATCGTGAATGTATAATATATTGTACATATGTGTATGTGTGTGTGTGTTTATATGGGCACGCACAGGACCTCCGAAGAATGATTATGTATACCTATGGTTTGTACGAGAGAAGAGGTTTTTATGATAATATAATGTAAATCCGGATGCTTTGACTCAACCATCCGTATTTAGGTATGTATCGCGGTTTCAATTACACGAAAACGTGTTTCTCCGCAGAGTGGCGGTCGTCCGAGATGAATTGATTAATGTATACATATAAAAATATAAAACAATAATTAAAACGTCTCGAGGGGCCGGCCGATGAGCGCTCTCGCAACGGTATCTGTAATAATAATGAGCACTGTGGCCAAAGCACGTAAGGAGTTAGGACCAGTTGGAAAATATCATATTGAAAATTTGCAACCCGTTTGCACCAATTACTTATACGGGATAATTATCGATTTTATAAAACCTTTAATTTATAATATTATTTAATCCTAGTTATAAATTAGTATTAATCATTATAAGACATAAACAACAAGTTATTATATTAGAACACAAGAAAGTGTAACAATAAATAAAAAACAATTCGTAAATTATTTCGATGGATATTTTTCTACTATTTTCTTATGTTTACAAGGTGGTACACATGCACCGTTATCTGAAGACTAAAATATCTTAAGTTTGGGGCCATGAAAAAAATCGCACTCATTTATGTAAATACAATAAATTAGCGTAATGGACAATAGTCACTATTTCTACTAGGAACTTGTGAGGCTGTAAATAATATATATAGGGGACTGATGTATCATACAACTTTAAACGAGCTCATAATTCTCTGGAAAACAAACGGTGTGTTTCTTCGCGGACTAGAGATGATATTATGAAGAACTGTTCAAGTCTCGTTTCGCCAAAATCTCGTCGCACTAACGTCATATTATTATAAAGATTTATACTCGCCGACCGGCTGATATATATTATGTCGTCCGATAAGCAAGGTTTAACCATATTACATCATTTAAATAACCAATGGCAAGACTAAAAGAGGGTTACCACGATATTTTCTGACAGTCAGTCTTGTGAATTGGTCATCAAGTCTCTATATTTTTCCCTATCCAATTATCGAGAATACCGTTTGCTACTTTTTTTTTTTACGTGTCTGCGACCATGTGTAATGCAATACGACGCAATTCCAACCACAAATATCAATCTATAACTAACAATTTTTGAGTGCATATCGTAATATTATAAAGGGTTGAGAAATGGGAAAACGAGTCTTGATCAGCTCTATAGTCGGCAGACACATTAGGTCGCATCTCTAGGATTACGCGTGGGTGCGCCGTCAACCGTCAAGGTAGGATGCACAATGTTATATTAGGTATTTTATTAATGTATATGCCTTTACTGTATACACAGGTTTCTATTTGTATACTTATTAATAGACAGTTTTATACGCTATTAAACTATTGTTGTTTAGAAATTATAACTTTTTGTGTAATTCTTTTTTAATTGATCCTAACGGGCCAAATAATATCCTAATAAATAATACAAATAACGACGGGAGTCGATATTTTTCACGAAAACCGCCGAAAACGAACACCCACGGGTGGCGCACCCGTGGTGAACGTCATATACTTGTATAATGTTTATAAAATATTGATATATATACCCACATATATTGCCTATTACATCCTATATGTACATATAGCTACATACTCTGTTTTATATATACGCATTACCGCGTACTTACACGAGACGTTTAAGACGCTGGCGGGGAGGGGTGGGTATTCGTGCGTATTGCAGGATCGACCTTGATGAATAATCTACTCTGCAGTTACACGCCTATAGATGTAATAATATCTACGACGTCTAAATTTTAAATCATTTCGTTCGGTAATTTTTTCTCATTTCTTTTGGTTAATATTTCTTTTTTTATTATTCTTATTATTCCATCGCCGGACTTGTTCACACACTGCCGTCGCCGTTGCTCTACACATCATCATCATCACACACATACACACACCACACGAGCCCGCGCCTGCGTGTTGTAGACGTGGCACCTGTAAATTTTGTAAGAATGTGTCGACTCACCTCGGCAATCATTATCCTCATCTCGGTCGTGGGAACGATTAATCAAACCTTCCCCCCTCACCCCCACCACTTACACCCGTCCACGTTCTGAATCAGTCTCTTTACACACTATATAGCTCGTAGTATATACATTACGTCCGACGACTTATACGCGAGCGGCGTTTTATGGAGATTTTTCTTTCTATATTTCGAATGACGCGTAATTAACAACGATATATTGTAGATAATATTGTACACAATATTTTACACGAATACGTTTCGGACGGGCACCTAACGTCATACAGTATCGATGGAGCGGATTTCGGAAGACACATCATAAGTAAAAAAAAAAATACACGATATATTCATGTAATATATATTATTATAATACCTACATGGGTATATTGTTGTTTTGGATAGAGACCGCATTATCGTTACTCGTCGCCGTGCACACCTACATAATAATATATACTATTCATGCTTATACGACTAATGTACGCATTTTATTGGTCATTAAAGATTCGCAGAAGGGGGAAAAGAGCTGTATATAAGCCTGTAGAGTTTTTAACGGAAACAAAAAAAAATAAATAAAACACAAGTCTATAGTGAGACTTTATTTTAATGAAAAATAAAACGAGCGTTATACGCACACACGCGCACACACACAGGGTTGTAAAAACCGTCTGTCTTTGGGAGACGACGGCGGTGGCGGCGGACTCGTTCATTTTTTTTTTATGGTCATAATATTCTTTTTTTAGGCCGATACAAATCGTATGCTAACATCTGCAATAAATTATGGCCAATGTGTGCGCGCTGGCCTTAAAAAACATGGAAAAAAACCAAGAAAATATTCCTATAGTGTTGGCTGTGCAATAGCGGCGGCGGTGGCAGCAGCGTTGGTAGTGGTGATGTTGGTAACGTTGACGCGGGTCGAAGGGAAAAAAATTTGCCGCAAAAACCGTCTTGAGGGAACCGCCCGGCCATGTTGGCCCCGTTTTTATGACGCGATACGCGAAACTTTTACGATAGCTTTAACTGTCCCAGACGGACGGACGCGTTTTTCTATTATATTCCGGGGTGCGTTTTATTGACTATATTTTCTTCGCCGTTTTCACTTCCCGCCGCACGACTACATGCCGTCGCGCCCTCTCCCACTCACTCACGCTCACTCAGTCAGTTTCTCTCTCTCTTTCTTTCTCTCTTTCTCTTTCTCTCTACACCTCTACAATACCTCGGCGGCTCTCCGTCTATCGCCCCGCGCCACTACCGCACTATCACTGTTGTACGATTTTTAATTGTTCAAAAAATATCGTTATACGTATACGAACCACCACCCCGACCGATTCCCTTTGTTTCCCTGCAACACACTCCATCGCCATCGGTTTTATCGTCGCCCATTGTCGGGGAAACGAGTCGTTTTCATAAAAAATAAATAAAAAAACAATAAAAATCGTCTCCGATCGACATCCAATCGTACCGACTGCATAATATAATATAATGTGTACATAATAATATTATATTATCATCCGAGTAGTTCCGACCAATCTTCGAGTATACTTATGTATGTTGTACCTACATTCTGCATAATGGTTATACGTGTAGAAGTATAATTATAAATTATAACGCTATTATAACTCACACCATCAGCATTTCGATATTTCACCATACTTCTAAATCAAAATCAAACGAACAAATACGACGTGCATAAAAGTACTTGATTGTACTCACCAATACCAAAGCGAGCCAGAGGATTAACCTATATAACATATTATAATATGCATGCACAAATGCGCTATAGTATAATATTATATTTTTTACAATAATATGTATAATATATATTTTATAACCAAGAACGCCACCACTGCAGTTGACTCGTTGAACGCCCTGATCTGGCAAATCGCATGCATCGGCTTATACCTATAAATTAAAATTTATAATTTATTATATTATGATGCATTCATCGCAAAGAGGTTTCCACGTCTCTTGGATAGAATCGAGTTTTGTGCAAATTTCTTTGCATTCTAGTGTTTTAGTGTCACTATCGGTCTGACTGCAATCGACATTTTACACACACACACATTGACTATAATACATCGTGGGTGAAACGCTGTATAATATTATATTTGAGTAGGTATTATAAAATCCACGCCGAAC